GGGACTGCGGTTGATCGTACACGCAACGCAATAATAGTGGGGGGTGTATTGGGGATAGCAGTGAGAGTGCGATGATGAGCGGGCAGTAGCCGCTGACGATAAGATACTTTGTTGGTGGCGGTGACGAACAAATCGGTGGCTGAATGAGCGAGTGCGTTGCAACGGATATTTTGCAGATAAGGCAGAGCAAAGGAACGTGGGTGCATGGTGAGCGTCCGCGATTAGTGGAAGCCGTCAAAATGGCCCTTAAGGATTCGCTCGCCCATAGGCGATGGAGCACGACGAGGCCGGTCCCCGCCCGGAACGCCGAGCGTCGACGAGCGCCTTGGCTTGCGTGTGGAGGTTGCGAGAGGAGGGGACCCCTTACGCTGAGGCGCCGGGGCTTGCAAGACGTTCGGCGGTGCGGCCGGCGACGCTGGGGTCGGAGGTGGCGCCTGCGGGGGGAAAGGCGGCTGCACACAAAAGGTTAAGGCAATGAGCGTGGGAAAGATAGAGGTGAGGCTTCGTCATGGCACTTACCCTAGCCAACGCACTGCTCAGCGATAAGCGGCGCAACAGACCGGCGCCTCGCTCTTGAGCAGCCTCTGTGACGGGCTGAGGAGCGGTAGGGTTTGCCTTGAGCGTCTGGCTGAAACGGGGGTTGTTCGATGCCCAGCTAGTGCTCATGCGACGTGCATGTGCCGCCAAAGGGTGTTCAGTGTCATCCTCGGTGCGAGGCCGGGTGAAGGGCGTCGCGAGGGTTGTTTTGGTAGGAGAAGCGGCGAAGAAGTAGGATAGGATGGGGGAGGAGGTGGGCGAAGTGGAGACCTTTGGGGGGGTATTGGCCGAGACTGGAGTCTGGAGAGGAGGGGAATTATCGGACTGGGAGGACATAGAAGCTGAGCGAGGTCGATTGTGGAATGAGGTTGCGGGGATGGAGATGGGCTTCGTGTGTTTGATGCGGTCGTCAGACATGGTTGCAGTAAAGATTATGGGGAAGTTGCTCAGTGCAAGTTGGGGCTTTGCTTTATGTACTCCCTTGGGGGGGTTCAGATGCGATCTACTCGGAATCCGCCGACTCTATTGATCCCTACGTCGTGTGACCCTTCCCCGCATTCTCAATTCACTTGAAGGCACGCACGCGACTCTCGTCATCACAATCACCATTCTCCTCCATTCCACGAAGAACAGTCTCCACTGTTCTATGAACAGTACATGAAATTGTCACGGTGGTGTTCAGAACAGTCGACTTCAAGTTTCGAATCTCTCTTGCCAGAACCAGACCTGACAGTGGCCAAGCTCGTTGCTCACATGCTCCGCAACGCCTAAGCTGACCTTCTCTGATGGTGATAGAGCGGAAAGGCATCATCCGATGAAGCGCAGTATTGGACCAAGCTATTTAGAGTTTTTACATTCTTGTCTCCGTAAAGACCGCGCTGTCCGGGGACTTATCGTTCCTTCCGTGACGTCACGAGCAAGTTCCAATGTGGCGAATGTGGTGATAACGCATGCTTCCAAGGCTCAAACGACAATGAATTCGAATCAAACATTCAGAGTAGCCCTCCGTGACGAAGGCATCATCACCAGTCCCAGATGGAACAAAGGAACGGCTTTTACGGACGAAGAACGCAGGCAATTTGGCATCACTGGCCGCTTACCATTCCGTGTCAACTCCCTTGAAGACCAATGTGCTCGCGTATACGACCAGCTGAAGACTCACGAATCTGATCTCCGAAAGAATGCATTCATGCAAAGCTTGAAGGCTCAGAATTGGGTTCTATATTATGCATTCCTTTCGAAGCACTTGAAGGAGCTCATGCCTATTATTTACACACCGACTGAGGTATTTGTTCATCCAGTTGGTGCAGCTGTTTGCTGATTGTGACCACAAGGCTGACGCAATCGCACAATACTCTCACCTCTTCCGTCGTAGTGAAGGGCTTTTCCTTACTCTCCCACATCAAGACTCCATGGAAGAAGACTTCTTGCATCACGTCAAGGGTCGTGACATACACCTCGTTGTATGCTCCGACGCAGAAGCGATTCTTGGGATAGGAGACCAAGGTGTTGGAGTACGCCACTTGATGTTCTCATAAATCGTAGTTTGCTGACCTTAACTGGCTAAAGGGCATTGGGGTGTGTTTTTGGTAACCAGAATCTGCATTGTTACTGACGCCACCTCAAGATTTCTACGGCCAAAGCCGCAGTGTACACGTTCGTTTCTTCGTAACTGTCATTTGGTATAGGTCTCTGAAATTTCCAAATCAGCCTTATCGGCGGAATCGACCCGGCTAAGACGATCAGTGTGACATTGGACGTGGGGACGAATAACGAGGATCTCCTCAAAGATCCCCTCTACGTCGTAAGCAGCATGTAGCCATGAATTATCCCTATCAGATTTGGAACATCATTTTAGGGTTGGCCTCATGAACGCGTCCGTGGCGAGGTGTACGATAAATTCATAGATAAGTGAGTATATGCACGGTTCAAATTCTGCTCATTTTTGATGCTGTTTCTTACAGATTCGTCCAGCTTGTGAGAAAGTACCTTCCGCACTCCCTGTTGCACTTCGAAGACTTCGGCGTCACCAATGCGCAAAGGATCCTGGAACTTTACCATGACCAGCACGCCGTCTTTAATGATGATGTGTGAGTTGCCTTTTCGTTCATCGCCAGTCTTTACCTCATAAATGCGATCAGACAAGGAACTGGTGCAGTTACGCTCGCTGCGCTCATGACCGCCGTTGGTGTGACAAAAACCCGCCTCGCTGATCAGCGCATTATCGTCTTCGGCGCAGGCTCCGCTGGGCTCGGTATTACGCGTCAACTCCGTGATGCCATGGTCAAAACAGACAACGTCAAGCGGGAGGATGCGAACAAGCGATTCTGGCTCATCGATCGATTTGGCTTGCTCAAGCAATCTCTCGGGGACAAGTTGCGCAAAGGGCTAGATGACTTCGTGCGCGCCGACGATGAGGAAGAATTGAAAGCGTTTGGAAAGGAGAAGGAGGTGACCCTGTTGGATGTCGTGAAGGCCGTGAAGCCGACGGTGTTGATCGGGTGCTCCACTGCGCCAGGGACCTTTACGGAGGAAGTGATCAAGGAGATGGCGAAGCATTGCGAAAGGCCGATTATCTTGCCGCTGTCTAATCCGAGTAGACTCGTCGAGGTGCACCCTCATAAAGCCAATGAATGGACAAATGGAAAGGCATTGTTGGCCACGGGAAGCCCGTTCCCCCCTGCGAAAATGCCGAATGGCAAGGACTACAACATCGCTGAGTGTAACAGTGAGTGATCAATCCTCACATACCACACGCCATCATAGAGACTCATGCAATTTTGTTAGACGCGTTGATTTACCCAGGTCTCGGTTTCGGTGCCATGCTCTCCCAATCCCGCATCCTCACAGACACGATGATCATAGCCGGAGCGCGGCGCCTCGCAGCTCTCGCTCCAGCCTTGAAAGACCCTGACGAGGCACTGCTCCCGGACTTCGGCGACTCGCCTGCGGTGAACCTCGAAGTCGCGGTTGCTGTCGCTGAGCAGGCGTTCGACGAGGGGAATGCGGGTGTACCGTGGGGGAAGGAGGAGGTTAGGAAGAGGGCTGAGGAGATGAGATGGCATCCCATTTATGGGACGTATGTGTACGATCCGCATGGCGAGGTGTAGAGAAGCAAGAGGGACCATGACGCGGCACGAAGGTTATACGACTATTAGCCTGGGACGATGGTACGCAATGTCTTCGATATAGAACCTTTAGAAAGAGTGACGCGCAGGTAAAATGAAATGATCGCAATAAAGGCTACATGCAAATCTCAAACGCCAATCTCAGTACGCCTCAAGTTCCGATTTCCAAGAATACCCAGGCAATTGAGAAAAGGGACGGAGCACGATTTCGGTGCCGGAGATGGAGCGACCCCGGGAACCTCTTCCTACGTTCGGCCGCAGCGGCAAGCGGTAACTGGACGTGATACTACACTGCTTTACAGTGGCCTGCTGAGTGATTTTTCGTCAAAGATGAGTAACAGTCGCTATGACACATGCACAAGAACGAAAAGCTCCGTCTACGCGTATACGGCGGCCGAGAACTATTGTTAATAATGAGCTGCAAAGCATCATCTTGGTCATAGAATTCTCTGAGGCATTTGCTTTTCATTTTTGGAGATTTTCGACATCACTGACGGACCCTTCTAGTACTACTGACTAGAAGTTTACTCAAGTTGCACACCGCTGGATCGTGCATATGTCCAGCCTCAAGTTGACGCCGTTCACCAATGCTTAGCACAATTCTTACTTGCAGCTAGTGGTGTGGTGACCGGATGTTTTCGCCCATAACCAGCTACGTGGTATGCGTACCAAATTATGCATCGCCTCGTAAACCTCGGTCAGTCAGCGGACAGAACGACCGTCGTCCGAGCGTGCGGAACAGAGGTGATCTGATTGCGACCTGACGGGCTAGGCCACGAAGGCCGAGCGCCCGAAGCTTCGCGCTTCGCCACGATACCATCCGCGGACGAATCTGCAGGAACGTCCTTGATGCCTTTTCACATGCTTTGAGTACTGGGCTATCAATGCGAAGTTGTCAGCGCATATAGGCTGATTCCAATCAGAACATTTTCCGGAGGGCGTCTGCGCTCTCCCGTCGTCCGTATCGTGTAGACAGTTCAAACCCGAATGCGAAGGAACTCTTCTTGAAAGAAGCTCATGCTGTATGAGTTTGCATCGATATACCACGTCGACTCGGACTGTCATTCCTTGGATCTGGTTCGCCAGAATTCTTCCGTCCAACTCAGAAGTATGGTGAGTCGCATTTCGCCGATATTTGTTGGTGAAACGTACGCGATACGTGTTCTGAGACTGGAACACGTAGACTAAATTTCATATCTGGTAGGCGTTCCGGCATGCTGACTGAAGTAATATATGGATGTCGAAATGAGTTCGGAATCAAAGAATGCGCCGAATGGTTGACTTGGGGAAATTGCTGTGGACTTCTTGTAAGTCAATAATCAAGAAGCTGGAGCTGCATCATTGGTGTAGAGGTTAGCATGGAATCTTCCCAGGAAGAAAGTACGCTTTCCACCCGTTAGGTTTCGACGTGGGTTCGATTCCCGCATGATGCAATTTGAAGGCTATCAAAGATAGTCTATTTTTTTTTCCAGGTGTTTTGATATTTATCACCAGCGCCGACGAATTAGATATGTGTACATGTGTCGTTAATCAAGGTTATATGAATGAGGGAATGATGATGCTTGAAGGGGGGCTATTGATGGAGTGCTAGCACTGTAATGGACGCGTTGCCGTATTCCGACATACGCGCCTCGTTGCAGTTGCAACCTGACTTGTGCCAATATCGTCCCTCGAGCCCACCGTGGCCGCGCTGGCCCAGCCACGCCGCCGAAAGCTTCCTTTCGACAGGATTTTCTCGCGCCCACAGCGTAGGCCGTCGGCAGACTCGACTCAGCCTCCAAAAGCCCCGTCCGCCCCACCGCCCCCACAGCCACACACACAGAATCCTCAGCCACACCCATCCATGCCAGTACCAACCCGCGATCCTCCTACCAAGGCGTCGCTCAAAGCCTGGTGGCGACAGTTTACAGCCGGTCAGAAGGACAAGAAAGCAGAACAGGAGCATGCGGAGAAGAGTGCGTACCCTCATTCTTGCCTGCGCAGGTGCTTTTGTTGTAGGGGCTAAATTACGGATTTTGTGCACACGACTACAGCGGCGCATCCTGTCTTCGGCGTACCACTGCGAGAGAGTCTACATTATGCAAGCGTGCAGATATCAACTGCAAATGCCGATGGAGAGCTGTACGTCTGGGGCTACATCCCGGTCGTTGTTGCCAAATGGTAAGTTCATGTCGTCTCCGCGTTCTTTCTCCGACCTTTCTAATTCGTTCTCTCACTATCAGTGGGCTATATCTTAAGGAGAACGGTGCGTGGTATAGGTCTCAACACGTTTCTCGATTCTAAGTGGCGTTGCAGCCACGGAGGTTGAGGGTACATTTCGCATCAGCGGATCTACCAAACGCATGCGCGATCTGCAAGCAGTCTTCGAACGACCACCCAAGGTGAGTAACAAGCTAATATCTTGAATTTATTTTCTTCTAAACTTGAGCACAGTATGGAAAGAATCTTGAATGGAAAGCAGAGAACTACACCACCCATGACGTCGCCAGCGTTTTTCGAAGATACCTCACTCAGATGCCTGTGAGTACCCCGCCCCACTCGGAGAACGCGCTGCTCGGACTGCGCTGACCTCACCGCAGGAACCTGTGATACCCCACGATCTATACGACAAGGTGAGTCCTGGCCGATGTGTTGCACTGCCTCATTCTAATCAAATCGCCCAGTTTCGAGAAGCATTATGTGGGTATATTGAGTCAATCTGTGTCTGTCCATGACTGACGCAGTTCTGCGGATGCAGCCAAGAAACGACCGACAGAAGAAGTAATAAAGACGTACAAGCAACTTATTCGGTCCATGCCCCGAGGGAACCAATATCTACTCCTATATGTCCTGGACCTACTATCTGTATTTGCGCGGAAGTCGGACAAGAACAGAATGACTGCGACAAGTCCGCCCTCTTTATTTCTACACTGAAGTGAAAATAACTAACGATGACGTATTTCACAGATCTCGCCGTAATTTTCCGGCCGGGACTCATCTCCCACCCTGACCATGAAATGTCGCCGAAGGAACACGAGCTTAGCCAACGCGTCCTCGAATTCTTAATTGCTCACCAGGATTGGTTCATGTTGGACATTCCGCCTCCGCCAACATCACGGCAGAATTCAACAGTGATGTCATCGCCAATACCTGCAGATGACGACGACGTACACGTTATGCCTAGTTCGGAGGACGAGGAGCGCTCATCTGCAGGCAGCAGCGGATGGAAGCTTGTTGAACGAGGGAAGAAGATAGGGCGGCGTCGCACGTTGTCAGACCATGTTGCCTCGACATCTACAAGCGCCGGCGCAGCTACCGAAGCTGTGCAGAAGGCCGCATCGGTTACGATATTGTCGCCGCTGAAGCCTAGTGCCGGGATCGGAGGGAAGATGGAACGCGGTGAGCTTAGCCCTGTGGCGGAACAACCCCCAGAAGGTTCACTTGTGCGAGGTGCATCGGTGACGCGGAGTCGGACGATGCCTACGCGTCGGAAGGACTCGAAGGACTCTGATCGCGAGGAGCGGCCGCAGAACGTGTTGAAGAAGCAGAAACGACAGAGCTCTGGTCCGCCTCGTCGTGAGTCGACGAAAGCGGATCCGAATCCGACCGCTGCAGACACGCACCCGTCCTGACTGACCCTGGTCGCGCGTTTGCACTGATCGATTTTGCATGGGCGGCGCAGGCGGGCGACGGGGGTTAACGCGTTAGTTCCCAGTTCTGGATGGTTTGTTTCTTGGACAATTTTGATGAAAGGTACGATTACGATTTTATACTAGAACACACGAAAGCAAGGATTTCCATGCCACACATGAATTGATCCCCATCGTAATTATCAGGTCGGGCATTGCTCACAGACATTTTATCGTTAGTGGTTTGTGAATGTAGTAGTTGTAATGAGAAGTTTGTGAAACTTGGGCTTAGGAAAGACTCGGCGGCCGAAAGCGGAGAACACCGCCCTGGGCCCCAAGAGGGCAAGACTGATCAAAGACACGACCCACAACCCCTTTACTCACTGCTGCGCACGACGACTAACGCCTTTCACTTCTAACGACCATGGCATATCCCATGAGGACCGCCCACCAACCTGGGCTGGAGCCGTACAGCGACATACCGGGTGTACGGAATTCAAACCCAGATCTAGATGACTATTTTGACGGACAGGTCCCCGTGCGTTTACGTTTCGTTCAAACTTCAACAACAGCCTCCCTTAATTTGTTTTGTCTCACTTCTCTGCTGTGCAGCCCCCACATCACCTCTCAACCCCACAAGGCCATACGCCAATCCCTTTGGACGATCCAGTCCCTCGCAATCCTTTCATGGCGAGTAGAGAATACTCCAACGTAGACGGCGGCAACGGCGCCACAAATGTGCGCCAAAGTACCTGGCTCGAGAAACAACAATCCAACCAACGGCGCACCAGGTGGATCGTAAGTTACCCCCCTTGCTTCACATTGAACATCTCCCGCAATGTTGAACCATATTGAATAGGTAATTGGTTCGCTTCTGGGCATCCTTGGAATCATCATCGTAGGAGTGGCCGTTGGCGTCACTGTCTCCAAGCACCACAGTAACAAGAAGGGCACGAGCAGCACGGGCAATCCTGGCTCGTCGACGACGCCACCCGGAACCGTCAACGAAACGAACCCGAACGACCCAAGCTCCTTCGTCAAGGATCCCCGTCTTCACCAATCATTCTATGGTCTTGCGTACACCCCGGAAGGCTCCCAACTACCGCAATGTGGCGCACAGCTATGTGAGCACCTGATTCCGTTATGTATCCGTCGCCGGTGCTCATTAACTTTGCAGCCGATGTCATCACGGATATGCAGGTTTGATTAATATTTTCTTTTTCTCAACGGTCATTGACAATACCCCTACTTCAGTTGCTCTCCCAGTTGACCACGGTGCGCTCACTTGCGGCCTCCAAACGCGGCCTCTGCTGATCAAATCATCCACAGAACATCCGTCTCTATGGTGCTGACTGTAACCAGTCAGGTCTTGTCGTAAGTCCAAATCTTCCGTTTCATTGGTCCGCTCTAAAATTAAGTCACTCTATTTTTAGTTGGAAGCCATCCAACGGACAAAGGTCAACATGTCCGTCTGGCTAGGGATTTACAACGTCCCCGACGACCACACTGCATACGATCGCCAAAAAGCCGAGATCATGACTGTTCTGCAACAATACGGGACCAAGAATGTTGCTGGCGTCACTGTTGGAAACGAATGGATGCTCAAGTAGGTTTAGATTAGTCTCTCGCTTCTAGGCGCCACTTTAATTCAATGATCCAGCTACCTGTCGGATAATGGCGGTGCCCAATTAGATCCAAACGGAGCTGTTGGCAACACGGGTACGCATTGATTTATGCAATGTAAAATGATCCCCGTCAATTCGGCTCATGGGCGCACCTTTAGGCGCCCAGCTGTTGATTGTAAATATCACGGACATGCGTAATACGCTCAGCGCTGCAAGTATCAACATCCCAGTTGGCAACTCAGACGCTGGAAGCTACTTCAACACGCAGGTTTTAAATGCTATTGACTATGGCGTACGTCATATTGGTTTCCTTCACATCTGCGCTGTGACAAAAGGCTGAATGCGAATCCAGTTGTCCAATGTGCATCCTTGGTTCGCCAATGTAACCGTGCAGGCCGCTGCCGCGTGGACAGAAGATTTCTTCGAGACCAACAACGTGCAAGTCGCTGCCAACACGACGAAACAACCACAAATGTACATCGCGGAGACCGGCTGGCCTACGGCAAGTCTTCAAACCCTCGTCAGACGAAGCGCATGAAACTAACGATAGTTCTATAGAAATCAAGTGACGCCGGAAATGCTAATAACGGAGCCTCGGATGCATCAGAAGCGAACCTTCAGGTCTACCTGGACACATTCGTGTGCGATGCTAATACGAAAGGAATCAAATACTTCTTCTTTGAGGTCAGTACACGCTGCTCATTCACAGTCGGAATGTATTCTAAGTATAAATGACATGTTAGTACTTCGATGAGCCCTGGAAGGATGCTCAGTTCGGCGGTGTCGAGGGCTGGTGGGGACTGTTCAACTCAAAGTGAGCTCTTAATTGATATAGCATGGTTAACCGGTTTCTCATCGCCACGTCTCTCAGTCGTACCCTCAAAAACATCAATATCCCGAACTGTGCCATCTGATCAACCTTTCGCCATCCATCGCTATTCACGTTATGCATTTACAACGTAATGACCCATCATCTATGTACAGTTTGTTTTCATCGTCACTCGTTGAGCATTGGAGCGGACATTATTAGCACGAGTAATTATATCTTTCCTGTAACGACACCGGACTACCCTTCGATTTTTAGTCATGATCGGACAATGGAAGCTTTCGATTTGTGACGATTTCTTAACGTGGAGACGTACTAAATACAATTTGCTACAGGGGTTAGTAACGATTACCAGTCTATGTATGATAAAGGAG